CGCGCGCGCGCGTGCGCGCGCATGTGGGTATATACATACACATACCAGACTGCTTTTTCAGAATGATTAAAGCCACATGGTTCAGGGCTTGACCATGGCTGCACATTCTGAAGGCAAGCTGCATGTATTTACCATCAGGGAACTTACAGCTCTAGAAAAGGCTACGACAGAAACAAGATGGTGAGCCTAACACAATGCTTCTCATCCCAGTGTGGGAGTGCTCTTGTCCACCTGGTTAAAGAAGGGACAGACATAGTTTTCCCAATCTATAGGAAGAGTGACAATTGACTCTTTCTTGAAATATACATAGGGAGCTCTTCAGAACAAGGGTTAAGGCAAAACTAAATATCAACTCTGTAGAAAATTATCTGATTTCAAGTGATATGTTATTTGAATAACCTAAAACCCTACAACTTGGAGGCCCTCTTATAGTGAGATTTAAGCTCTGTTCCTTCAAGTCTTTTCCAAAAGGGAACAATTTATTCTTCCCTATTTATTCCACTTTCTCACTGCAAAACATACTACATTCTGAACACTCACTCCAACTACGACTGCAATCACCAATTCTTTGGTCATGACACTTCCTCTCCTGAAATGAAATCCTAACCTCATTTCTGCCTTATTCAAATTCTGCCCTACAAGATCAAACTTAACTCCCACTTCCCCCTCTGAAGTCTTTCTTGCCCTTTTGGTTTCTTCGCTCAACACTGAAGACACTGAACAAGGCAGGCAATCAGCTCTGCCTTGAGGATATCCTAATTTCTGCAATAGGACTTGCTCAAGGATAAAAGCCATGCCATCAGTTCTTTAGTGTTGTCCTCAGAATGCCTGTACTTAGGACCATGCTCTTGGCTTCGATGAAAGACAGAAAGAGGCAGTTGTAGTAATCAAGTTGAAAAATAATGAGCGCTTATAATATGTCACTGGCCGTAACGATGAGGGGCCATTTAAAAGAGAATCAGTATGATCAGGGGACCAAAAGAAAACATTAAGGAAAAAGGAGGGAAGCACAGCAACAGCTCCTCCTCAGTTTCCTCCTGGCAGCGTTCTTACATGGCTTCTAGAATTACACCCAACTCAAATTTTTTCCATATGGATGTAATGGGCAGGAGGAAGAGGAAAACACAGATGTAAGAAGGGAGGGAAGGAAAGACAAGAGAGGGCAGGGGAGGAAGTGGGTTAAGGGAGAGAGGAGAGAGGAAAGGCAAGAGGGAAAGAGAAAAATATCACAAATAAAACTAAACAAAAATGATGCACTAAGACAACTGTATTTCTTCCCCCTTCCCTCATCTCCCCCCTTTAAACTTTTTCATATATAAAAGCAAACAATTCTGCCTCTGATTCAGAATAAGTAGAGCTGTATTAGGCTTAGGTTCCCATCACTGACCCCTGCTGTCTCAGCATGCCTGGTGTCAACAGCATACAGGTTCACTAAAAAAACTTTTGTGAACACAAACCTAGTATCATTTGAGTGTTGTTGGGGTCCGTCTCCGTTTGCAAGGCACCTATTAGTATATTCACAAGTCTCAACTTCAGGGACAAAAAAGTGATCGGTTTATCATATGAAGAGCTGTCATCATTACTAAACTTTCCTTCCAGGACCACCTATGGAAGAAACAAATAATATTCAACATCGACCGTTGTGGTGCACTATGCCCATGTGGCAACCGCTGCAGTGGACAAAGAGGTCGGTCTAACTAGAAAGGCTTTCAATCTGACTAATATTAGCCACTGTGCTGGCTAATGTGGCACTAACTCACACAGCATGTGTTAGTGCCATCTGAAATAGTAGACCAAGGCATGCTGGTTGACTGACAGAAGAAATACCACAACAAATCAACTTTGCCAGTTCAACTGAAATAATCTAAGTTGGTTCTTTTTTTTTTTTTTTTTTTTTTTTTTTTTTAAGATTTTATTGATTTATTTATTTTAGGTAATCTCTACATCCAATGTGGGGCTCTAACTCGCAACCCCAAGATCAAGAGTTGCATGCTCCACCGACTGAGCTAGCCAGGAGTCCCTGAGAAAAATCTTAAAAAGCTCATGTTCCATTTTTAAAATACAATTTGACTTGAAGAAACACACAAAACAGAATGCAGAACATAAAAAACTTTAATGAAACATTACCTCAGATTTGACTGTGCCAAAATGATGAGGGAGGGGCAACAAAGAAAGTAGGATATTAATGGAAGATCTTCTCAATTCTGTTGGATTTACATAGCTTTTGAATTTTGAGAGTTCTCTGCCAAAAAAAAAAAGAAAAAAAAAGAAAAAAAAAAAAGCTTTTGGTATTTCCAAACCAAAGTATGTTTTTAGCTATTGCCAAATATACATTATGTCAATTTTTCACAATAGAAGTACTGGGTTTGGTTTCATAAAGAATGCAGTAACTACTTTCCACTGAGTTTATTTTCTGCAGTGTGTGTATGTGAATTTCTATGTTAAGGTGTTACAGAATTAAACTAGAATCTGACTGACTGATTTTAAATGTATGACCTACTCTATAAAAGTAGGACCTCTGGGCTGGGGTTGTTCTTAGCCCTCCAGATCAGGCCAAAAAGAATTCAACATGCCCATGGACAAATCAGAACTGATTGAATTCAGGGATGAGGTGGATGGATCTGGATGTTCTATGCCCATGTAATGTGACCTGAGTTCCTCTGGGCTATGAAGACAATAGCACAGGATAAATTAGGCAACTGGGGAGGAAGCACCAAAACAGACCAGGCCAAACCCAACAAGTGACATACTAGTGCAGAATGATAGCTTACCTGTCAGGCAAAATGGTTTCAAGAGCTGAAATAAAGTAAGGAACCACAACATCAATCCCTTTCAAGTCACAGCAGAACAAAGGAGGGGAGTTTAGAATAACGCTGGCCAAGACAGGATGGCACACATAATCATTTATCTGCAAACCTTGAATTAAAAGCATGTAAAATCTAGGAAAGCAAGAAAAAAATTTTAAACAAACTGCCGATCAATTATTTCCATAATCATTAATATTTTCTACATAGTCATCTGAAAGTCTATTTCCACTCTTCATTACTTCTATCCTTAAAAGGTATTACTGGAGTTAGAACAACTCAAAAGCAAATATACTAAGAACCAAAATATCTTTCCTAATGAAAAGAAAAAAAAGATTCATGTCTCTTACACCTTCTTGAAGTTTTAAGCCTTGCAACTCAAAGTTATAGGTGCCTGCAAATGAAGCAACCAAAACAAAACAAATGGCTACAGCAATTATTAATAAACCAGAGGAATTAGTGAGCTGAATTCCATGCCAGTAAAGTTTTGCAACGTCTTCCAATTCCTAAAGAAAAAAAAAAGGGTGCATTGTGTCTTTTTTCCCTTCCCCCTCTTTTCCAGGGGGACGATGAAAGAAAGAAACTTCATGCAGCCCTGCATTCACCATGACATGGAGGAGAGTCTGAAATAAAACTCCTTTTAGGAATATACCTGCATCTACCTTCGTTTAGCCCCCTCCCCTAACTAGGGGATCAATCTTCTATCAACTAGGTATTCAATCTTCTATAATTCAGAGCGACTATCCTGGTAAACTCTTCTACTACCGTGAGGTACTTCTTTTCTCTGCAAAACTCTTTGGAAACAGCTTCCTCACCTCCTGGTCACTACTCAACACATTTCAGTCTAGCTTCTCTTCCTAGAATTCAGTTAAAACCATATTCGCAAATAACCGACAGTGTCCCAAGTGCTAAATCCAAAAGACATGTCCAAGTCTCAACTTACTCTGCCTTTTTAAAGTATTCATTCACCACTTTAATATACTCCCTTCTTCTTTTCCCTCTCTGACTGCTGTAGCTGTTTCCTCTAACAGACCTCTTACTCCGCTTGCCTCCTATACTGGTGTCCATCAGGCTGCTAAGCTCCATCCACTCTCTTAAGCTCTCTCTCTCTTAAAATAGAAGAGAGACACAGAATATTTTAAGCCACAGAATATAATCAAATCAGTCTTTAGTCCATGCCTCTCAACTGAGCCCAGATCTGTCAGCCAAAAGTGTGTGGATACCTAAAGGCAGGTCATGTCCAATTATCGATTACTGACAACATGTACTGATTACTCCAGTATTTGCAGAGTGTCTGGCACATAGTAGGAACTTAATTATTTGTTAATATCCCACAGGCATCTCACACTCAACAGGTTCATAACTAAGTTCATCATCTGCCCTCTCACAAATCTGCCCTTTTGGTTGGTCATACTACCATCCATCCAGTCTTATGGGCCAGACAGAAAGCTCACGATAACAACCTTCCACCTTATCACTATTGGTACTGTTCAGGGTATCTCCCCAACCCATAGTCTCCCTCCTGAGACTATGCCCCCACCACAAAGGATGAGCTCCAGCACTCCATGTGACCCACCCTCACAGCCATAGCTGACTAGGCCAGAGGTAGACGCCCGATCAATCAGATCTTTTTTCGCAGGAATCTGAAATTAGGCTTCAGAGATGCTAACTGGCCCTCCTGATCACCTAGACCAAAGCAATGGAATTTGGGAACTCAGAAGCACACTGAAACGTAAGAAAATAATCTGCAGAGAAGAGAAGAATGAAGAAGTTCTGGGAGACCAAGAAGACAGAGAAACAGGAAGAAAGTTGTTTTGTTCCTTGAACACTTTCTAGTTGTGCGGCCCCGCTGCATGTCCTGACCTCAGAATGTATTAAATGGCACAATTTCTCATAACATGTTTCTATTTTGCTTAAATCACACTTTTGATCAGCAGAGGAGTTTCTTGTTACTTAAAGCCAAAGCCTGGTGGCTCTGTCGGTTAAGCGTCTGCCTTCAGCTCAGGTTATGATCTCACGGTTCATGAGTTCGAGCCCCGCATCAGGCTCTGCACTGACAGCTCAGAGCCTGGAGCTTACTTCGGATTCTGTGTCTCCCTCTCTTTGTCTCTCCCCCACTCCTGCTGTGTCTCTCTCCCTCTCAAAAATAAACAAACATTTTAAAAAATTAAAACAAAACAAAAGCCAAGAGCCTATTATTAAGATTTCCCTGATTAGTTCCCTGTTTCAGGCCTATAGGATTCTGCACTTGGTTCCCTCTGATTCAGCGTAATCCTCTCTCCCAAGAACCTATAGCAGGTACAAAGCCATCTAAATGGTATCGTTGATCACTTTAGCAGCTAGGCTAAAGGTCAGTGGAGGAAAGCAAAATGTAGTCAAGAAAAATAGGAGGCCACTACAAGTTAATTTAGGAAAAAGGTGGCAAGGTCTGAAGCGTCATGGTTAGGACAGAGTAGAGAGATTCCAAAGAGGGTTAAGTAGCAGAAAGGCAGGAGTTGGTTCACCATCTAAAGACACAGTGGAAGAAGAGTCTAAAAGGACTCTTAGTTTCTGCCCTGAGCAGCTAAATGGCTGGCAGGGCCATTCACACAGATGGCTGAAGTCACAGATTTGAGTGAGAGGACCCTACCCAACCTGCTAACATCCTCTAAATACTACCCATCCTTTTTAAGTCCAGCACAATCATCCCATCCTCTCTGACTCTTTCCTGAATCCCTGGGTAAGTACATACTGCTTCTTCTTCTGAATGCCCACACACTTTACCTCTGCCTCTCTCCTACCAACTTCTATTACTAATGGATCACTGTCACTTGTGTCCATGGCTTTCTTTGCTCACTTGAGAAAATAAGCTCCTCAGAGGCCAGATTCACAGCTAACATTTCTGGACTGTGTATATGGCTAACACTGTGCTGAAAGTTTATTCAACTAGCGTGATCCTTCCAAATCTCTCCATAATTAATAAAAGTCAAATATGATGAAATAAATAATACTTCTAAAATAAAAAGCATCTTAAGGATATTTACCAAATTTGATGAGGCAGGCAAAATGGAAGAACTTCAAGCAAAAGTTTCAATTACTTACAGACATTTGCAAGTTTTTCAGACCAATGTTTACTCATCAATTCAGCCTACCAAGCCATGCTACAATAGTTTCACTATCAAAACGATATAAATGGAAAAAGAAACAAAAAGAAAATTCTAAGACCTGGATAAATAAGCTGGCAGAATCTCTTCTCCAGTCTTCTTGCTACAAAAAATCCTACACAGTGTCCCACAAGCCTCAGCTCTTCCTGCTTCATAGTTATCAGGAAATTCACTTGCATCAAACATAGGATTGGAAACCATGGTGTCTGTGGACATTTGTGACCCTTTCCGTCGAAACTCCATGCTAGCTTGTGTTGTAATGGCTGAGGAGAGAAAAGGAGGGTGTTATTACATTTGTCAATACGCAAATAGGCTCATGGGACCCTGGACACAAAGATCAAGTGTTGGTGTCATTAAATAGTTATTGAAATAGAATTCAATAATGCTTGTTTGGCAACTATGTCTTAATTTTTTTTTTAAGGGGCTCTGGGAAATCTTCTTTGAAAATAGTAACAATTTACAGTGATATTAACAGTTTCACAGATTCTACTAGAAGCATTTTTCAACTGAACTTTTGATCAGCAGAGTACATCTGTATATATCTGTACTCAGAGTCTCAGGTATATAATAAAGAATTTGGCTTTTCTATTATTAATTCTTTTTCCTCTCCCTGTAGAATGATGCTTAAACATTAAGAAAAACAGCTACTGCAATTTACATATTACCCCAGACAGACATTATAATTAAATGGGCAAGCCCATGCCAGTTCGAATATTTTAGGGAGAGGGCAAAGTAAGGATGAGAAATGGGTAGGGAGGAAGAGAGAGCATTCCCACCACCCACCCAACTCCAAAACACACACCAAAGAATCGCCCAACCAAGCAAAATGAGAATGAATTTTAACAACCACAGACAGCAGCTAACTTGAGGTTGATAAATCAGAAAATTGGATTGGCAAGAAAGATTATCATGGTCATTCGTTGTCACTGAAACAGAAGCCCTTTGAAAGTTGCTTTTACTTTTAACAAAAGATTTCATAGTGTATTGAAAATCACTCTGAAATCTTTTATCACTCTACGTGAAATGTTTAAATTATTTTGTAATAATAGTTTTAATAGAGTGCAGAGTCAAGCATAAATCTTTATGCAACTTCCCATGAGCCATTTTTAGTCCTGAATAAGCTATCCAGCAATAATACAATTGAAAAACACTACATGCAGAATGCATACAAATCAAACACTAAATCTGTATAAAAATAGGCTTAAAGCTTAAAAAAAAAAAAAAAAAAAAAGCCAAAACACAGTTAGTGCAAAGTCCTGGAATTCATGACATGACCAGACTAGTGTACAGAAATAATGGGACTGATTCAGGCAGATTAATTTGCTTTTGCCAACAATCTTCCCCATTCAAAACACAGAAAAGTATTTTTCTTCCCAAGTGCAAAAACTACAAGAGACAATGACAATCAAATTTTTTAATGGAATTATGAAAAAAATAAAAACATGACTGCAATTAAGGAGAAGCTTCTGGTTCCTACTTACAAGATTTATAAGAAAGAAGAATTTGGATAAAAGATGCTGCAAGATAATAGAAATAAATGGAAACAAATCAAAGGACAGCAGTAATTATAAAATACTTTAAAGATGGTGAAATTTTACAATAAGTTAAGAAGCTTTTTAGCTTTTTAAAAGTTAGATTAAAAGCTTTATGATACCACAAGCTAGTTCAAAAACAGGAAATTGTGCATTCAGATCCAAAATTATGAGTTTTGTATCATGCAAAACAATGAACGAAGAAAATTACACAACTACAAAGAATTGAGGTTTTGAACTGCCAATAACGTGCATTAAAATTTTAGTTCATTAACCCTTCCCAGCTCAATGTTACTTTTACAAACTACAGTGTAATGTCACATCAATCTAAAGCTAACCAGTTCATAGAAGCAAACACTTTAATTAGAGGTGAACTGCATGGCAGAATTCCTTGATGGCAGCCAGTACTTAGAAACAGACTAACAGTGTTTGTATTCCCAAACCCTCCATCCCCACAACTTCAAGAGCAGCACCCATTAGCACTCCAATCCAGGGAAATACCCGGACACCTCCTATCTCCTGGGTAATGTAACAGCCTTTCTCATCTCTGAACACAATAGGGGGAAGAGGAGCTTCTATCTTTTCCACACCAAGGAAAATGTTAAGAGTTCAAAGTAAGAATTTGTTGCCCACATATGATCTGAATTCTGGTTTCTATCTTTTGGCACAAGAGGGTGAGCAAAGCTGTTACAAACTCCCTAGAGAGTGAGAAGATTTGCATATTCCCTTTAAGCAAGCCCACCAAGGAGGCAGGAGGTGGAGCCATTCTGGATTCAGGGACTTTAGAGTCAACAGCTTGATACCCAAAAGTTACAGCATAAGAATTGCACCTTAATAAAAATAAAAACTAAAAATATGACTGATTCGTTCTAGCAAATACAATACAAATTAATAAACATGATTCGGAAAACTCAAAATATATGGCACATGAACATAAGAAAATATAAGCCAAAAATGGTTTTCTAAGTTTTCATTGAGTCATTAGTAAGTACATTTACTTATCCACAAGTAAGCATTACTTTCAAGCTTGTAAACAAAATATGGAAATGGCAGAATATAAAGGGTTTGAATTCGAAGAAAATGAACAAGGGAATCTGTAAACTCAAACATGCGATCTCAAATCATATTCCTGAAAATATCTTCATATTCACTTTTTAAATCATTTAAGAAATTTGTAAGAACATCTAAAATAATTATACGTGTATAATGCTCACTTAGACCTTAGTTCTGAGATGATTCATAACAGCTAAGAATGCATTTCTGAGAGAAAGCAGAGACCTTTATGATCAGTATATTAGTTTTAATCCTTGGAACCAACATTCTCCCTAGACATGCATAAATTAGGCATCCTTTTCTCTCAAGCTACTTCCAACCCCAGTCAGAAAAGTGCTTTCTTACCAAACAACCAATACACTCATTAATGCATATAACACGGTGCCTGGGCACATAGTAACTAACAGCTCAGTAAACGCTAGCCATTATTATCGTTCTCTGTAAGGCCTATCAGAAATATCCAGCACATTCTGCACTTCCCTACGTTCCCATCCTGCACACTATGCCACGACTTCCAAGTACAACGGTAGGATGACAAAAATAAATCAGATTTTATCTAAATAGTTTAATTTGTCATAAAATCTAAATGAAGATATCAGGGTTGAGTTATTAATTCTCCACCAGTCTTATTTAGTTCCAGAGCAAATGGTATTTTTGAAAGTGGGCCCTGAAATAAAGTTCTCTCAACTAAAACCTGAGAAATAAGTCTTTCATGAAGCAGAAATTTTCTGATACTGATATGTACTAATAAGTGAATGGCTGTCAGAATCTAAGAAAACACTTCTTGTGAATAAATCTCTGGTCAAAATCTTCAATTCTTTCTCTCCATATTATTACCCTGGCTGACATGAAGGGAACTTCCAGGCCACCTACTGAAAGGAATTTGATTCAACAAAAAGTGGCTAACCTGAAGTGTGTCTAACAAAACCAGACAAATGCCAAACCTCATAGAACATACATAAAAAGGACAGGTAGGAAAACTTCCTAAATTCTGTTACTGCAGCTGGAAGGGGTTAAACACAAAGACACTGCTTGGTCAGAGACAGAAAGCTTTTTAAGATACATATTAATCTTGCAGGTAGGAAAGATTAAAAAGAAAAAAAAAGAAAAGAAAAAAGTGATAACATATTTCTTGAGCAATATTTACCAGTCATGCTGCTGTCTCTGTTTATCCCATTATGAAGTTTACAGTGAACAAACGCTGCATCAAATAACCATGATCCAAAGAGATTCAAGATGCTGTTAACCTTTGGTCTCCGAGGGGCAGGCAGTGGCCGGGGTTCAGAACTTGTCTGATTGGGACTTGACAGAGGAGAAGTGGAGGATGTCTGGTGCTGAACTTTCGAGGCATGAGCAGTACTAACCTGTTACAGGAGTGTAAGAATATATCCACACTCAAGAAAAATGTGAGAAAACACCAGGACTTTTTTAAACGGATAGCAGCTTAACAAGTTAACTTTACACAGCATAGTAACAGAGATGAAAACTCTTACTGTGCTTGTCTTCATGGTGGCCTTATTCACAGTAACAGCCCGGTGCCTCCGGTTATGTGGTGGGGTGGTATTGACAGCAGTGCTTTGAGGCATACTTAATCTATTCACGGGTGTTGGAGGAGCACTATCCGATCGGGGTCTAGAAATGCCTTTTAAACAAAGACCAACGGAGTTATTTTTCACAGTTCCAAACACGTGGTCAGAAAAATCTTCCTCAAGCAACCAGCGAAGGCTCAGGACAAGACTACAGCAGACACCATTAGTTGCCTCCCAATATCCATTCACTCTTTCTTCCTGATTACAGAATACAAGTTTCAGCTGGACACGGCTACCCAAAATACACGATGACATTTTCAAGCCTCCCTTAGAATAAGATGGGGCTATGTTCTGACCACAGAGAAGTGGGTGATTGTTGGGTGCGTCTTCCAAGAAATCTCCTTAAAAGGACCAATCAAATGTAGACTCTCCTCCCTTCCTAATTCCTGAACAGGATGGTTGGAACTCATTCAACCATCATGGACCACGAGAGAGTACACAAAGAATGGGGAGCCAAAAGACCAAAGCCTTGGGTCCTTGGTAACGATGGAACAGCTACAGTGGCCCTATACTACCTAGCCCTGGCCTTAACATATGCGAAAATAAACTATCTTGTTTAAATCACTGGTATTTTGGGTTGCTATGTGGCAGACAAACTTAATTTGAACTATTACCTATGAAACATATTAACAAATGCACATAACAGATGTTTTAGAAAATAAGAGATATTAAATATTACTGCCTTTCGACAGGTTAAAAAAATTGAGTTTTCATACTCTTAAAATGTGAAACAGTTTAAAATAATGGCTCACAAAAGGCATAACTTGCTTACGACACACAGAAGAATGATACCTAATGAACTTTAATCTGTATTTTCTTAGATTACCAGTGAGAATGAACTTTTCTGCAAATCATTTATTCATATTCTTTGTCCATTTATCTTCTAAGTCTTATTCTTTTTCTTAGCATTGTCTGATCTGTTTATATAAAGATAACAAAAGCTTTCCAGCTATTACATTTATTGCAAATAATTTTTCCTACTTTGTTATTTGTCATCAAATCTGGTGTGTTGTTTTTTTCCTTTTTGGCTTTCCATCATAGTTTCTAAATCTAGATTCTAAAGTTATCTACATGTAGCTCTCCAAACATTTAGCAACATACACAAAATTCACCTAAGAATGCATCCACCAGACAGCTGATTCCACGCATGGCACGAAAAAATATTTGAGGCAGATGTTTAAGGCAGGGATACTGATTCAATTCTTGTGGCATTCCGCTCACATTTAAGAACTGTTCCTGAAATTTGGGAGTAGAGCTTATAATGGCCGGGTTACTCAAATCCACGGGATTACTATCAAAAAAGAGAAAAGGAATTAATTACACAGAAAAACTTTCCAATTTTAAAGGAAATAGAAAATGATCCCAGAAAAAGACATTTTTAAGAAAACTGAAAGACGAAAAATGCAAACTAAGAACTGGGAAAAAAGAGAATGGTTCACAACCCTAATTTATAAAAAGGTCACATAGAGTAATTTAGAATCACCAATACACAAACAGAAAAATGAGGCCAGTCGAACCAGAATGAGAGGAAATGAGAATTAAGGCAGTATGCAACAGAACAGAAGTTACACACAACACAAGGATGTGGCCAGTAGAGAAAAACACAGGAAGCAATGAAACTGAACCAAATAGAATTATCAGAAAGAAGGACAGAGCAGGAGGCAGCAATTTATCCTTCTGTGTAGTTTTAGTGTATTTGCCTCAGTGACATTTCAAACAAGGACACTAGAGAGGTCCTCCTAGCCAAGCTGACCAGACACAGCACTGGTCACACACAGAAGCAAGGCAGTCTCCAGTCCCCACAGAATGCAACGAAGTCCTGGGAGAGCTATGATCTAGGCTGCAGCAGTAGGCAAGAGAACAAATGTCATATGTACCACAGGGGACAAGCTTCCGGAGAGTGCAGACCGAGCACGGCCGAGGGCAGCCTGTCTCTGCTGAGACAGGGACAGCAGGAGCCACGTGATGCAGATACACCTGCTGTCCCATGTGGCTCCACCTGAGGCCTGTACTTAGGAGCCACACACTGAGCGCCAACATGAGAGCTACAGCACGGCTTCTGCCCTGAGACACTGGATGAAGAGCAAACGCGAGACTAAATAATAGTACCTTAACATATGTAAGAAGCGAAACCACGTCTGTGCTACACACTCGTTATCCATTTCAGGAGGGATCAGACTGGCATCTTCATCAGGAACTTTAAATGGAGGAAATGAAGGACCATACGTAAAGCGTAGCAATCTAGAATAGAAAAAAATTGCACACCACCAAGTTCGTTTCTTAACAGAGTGAAAAACATATTCAAGAATTAAAATATGATAAAAGAGAGGCGCCTGGGTGGCTCAGTTGATTAAGAGTCCAACATACGCTCAGGTCATGATCTCACAAGTGTGTGAATTCGATCCCTGCGTCGGGCTCTGTGCTGACAGCTCAGAGACTGGAGGCTGCTTTGGATTCTGTGTTTCCCTCTCTCTCTCTGCCCCTCCCTGACTCATGTTCTGTTTCCCTCTCTCTCAAAAATAAACAAACATTAAAAAAAAGAGGTAAGAGAAATACAGGAGAAAACAGATGAAATGTGTATCATACGTAACAAAAGTAAGATCGATGAAAACCCTTACTGACAAGAGAGAAATTAAAAGGGGATTTCCAATTTTGTAAAAGATTAAAAACTTTTTCAAATATCTGAATAATTTGTTTTTAAAATTATTACTTATAATTTATATATTTAATTTATAGTTTAGGTTATGCACCTGTAATTTATAAAACCACATATACATGTTACACATTAACATTATGTATCATTAAAATCTAATTTTATATATGTAGCTTTATAATATACAGTATGCAATATATAAAATTGTACAATAATAGCCAACTTATGGAAAGAGCATAAATGTCCATCAACTGATGAATGGATACAGAAGTTGTGGTTTGTTTATATATACAATGGAATACTACTTGGCAATGAGAAAGAATGAAATATGGCCTTTTGTAACAACGTGGATGGAATTGGAGAGTGTTATGCTAAATGAAATAAGTCATACAGAGAAACACAGATACCATATGTTTTCACTCTTATGTGGATCCTGAGAAACTTAACAGAAGACCATGGTGGATGGGAAGGGGGTGG